GGGGGGGGGCGGGCATGAGGCAAGTTACCAAGGGCTGGTAAAATGTCAACAGCCAGTAGAAAACTTTAGATGATTCCTCATTTAGGGGAAAAAATTACCAAGGTTCAGACACCTGCTTCTGCTGTAAGTGGTTTTTTTTCCTGAAGCCACAAACATCTCAGCATCTTTCTTCTGACTGCATTCGGTCATCGTTTGTGCCGTTAAGTCGACCACTAATGCAAACCTGAATCCCACTACCGGCTATCTAATTAATGCCGTTAAGATGAGGTCAGCACAAGGAGACACTGACCGAAAGCAGCCCAGTAGGAGAAAGTCAACGGTGACTTTTAGAAGCGTCCACAGCCCTGGGGGTCCCGAGTTACACAAGCCCAAGTCACTTTGCTTGTGAAGAACATGTAGAGATTTATAAAAATAAAAAAAAAGTTTCAAAAAAGAAGAAAAAAACAAAAGCAAACATTCTTTGGAAGAATCACATTTCTGTAGCTAGACTGCTAGCTTTTTCTGAGCCTCAGCACAGCTCTGACTCCTGAAGATCCGATCTTCCCCTCAAATCCATTTAATAGGCAAGAAGAAGAAAAAAAAATACAGGTGTCCTTCTGGTTCAAAGCACCCCCCCCCCCCACTCCAGTCACTGATTGGCTGCTTGGTCCTCGCCACCACCCAAAAATCCAATCAGCACTGTCCTCAGTAGATGACTTCATACACGGTGGCCTTCTTGTCACCTGAGCCCGTGACAATAAACTGGTCGTCAGGAGAGATGTCGCAGCTGAGCACCGAAGATGACTCCTTTGACTGAGGAAGGAGAACGAGATACGAGGATCAGATGCTTCTGCTCACGTTTATCAACAGTAACTCAGTGTTTCCACAAAGCCTTACAGGGCCTTTATGCTCAAAGGTATCACAGCCCCTATGTGAGGTAAACTAAGGTAAATGTCTAATAATATATTAAGAAAATTAATTAACCTTATATTGCTGGTGAAATGCTTCATTTAAAGCATTTTAGTTCACACACACGCATATAAAATTACGCAGACACACACAAAAATTCACCAAAAATCTTTCTTGCACACCAAAAGAAGCCGTTGTCAGAATTAACAGCAAAACCACGGGTGTGGATTCAGAGTTGGGGGGGTACCTGGAAAATACTCGATCCATACGGTGTCCTCCAGGCATTCAGGAGGTTGTCTTTGCCCGTACTGACAAACCATTTACCTGCAAGCCAAAAGAGAGAGGGAAGGAGAGAGACAGAGTGAGAGAGTGAAAGAGAGAGAGCGAGAGCATGTGAGTCAGATGGGCAGTTGAATTCTGATGACAGGGGTGTGGATGACAGGCAGAGGGGAGCAGGCGGGGGCCAGGGGGCTCTGTGACGGCACCACGCTGACACGCGTGCAACAGCATTTTGGCTGCAGTCACCCTCCCACCGCTCCAGACGGAGAGTTTTGCATAATTAGCAGCAGGTATGTTTTTAAGGTTTTTTTTTTTTTTGTTTTTGTAAAGACAGATTCTCAGACGCAGGAGGGTGAGGGAGGAGAGCAGGGCTGCTCACCGCAGTAGGCGAACTTCAGCGAGAGCACGCAGCTCTCGTGCAGGTGCAGCTGGTACTTGTCGGGCTTGGAGACGTGCAGAACCTCCACGTTGCTGCTCTCCATGCCCACAGCCAGCCACTCGCCGGTGGGACAGTATCCAAGGGAGAAGATCTGCACCGAAACAAACGGGGGGTGGGGAGGGGGGTGGGGTCAATTATCTGGCTTTGTGGGTGAAGTGCTAAAAACAGACACAACCTCTGTTTCACTGGCAAGGATAACAGACATCGGCTATCATCATACGCTGCGAAATGCATTCACACGTCTCTCCATTCACAACTTTCTTCATAACCCCCCCAAACACCCTATTACACTGCTTCCTTCAATCAAAAGCACATTTTTTCCACTCTTCCATTTTTCTTTCATTTTCCGATACATTACACGCAAACGCACACAGAAACAGCAGCGCAAACAGCACCATTACATAATTATCCATCTGTACAGACAATGGCACATTACTAAAACTGACCAGGACCCCATGCTCCAATTCAAATGTTAAAGCCGCCCGCTGCTGACTCACGCAGTAATAGCTGATTATGCCCCACAATTACTGCCATTAGTCCCAGTCTGGCCGCCATTTTCCCGCCTCCTGGATCTGCCCCCAGGTGGCGCTGTGGGCCGGCCTTTATGTGGCTCCCCAGGTCCCTCCCCACTCTACCTGGGAGGTGAAGTCATGCTGCTGCAGCTGCCGACCCTCCCGCAGGTCCCAGCAGCGCACCGTGTTGTCCAGCCCCCCCGTCCACAGCTTGGTTCCGTCGTTAGAGATGTCGATGCAGCTGGCCCCGTCCGTGTGGCCCTGGAACTGCCTGCGGGAGCCCAGATCCTCGTCAGTCGGTGGCTTAATGAGGTTCTGATCGGCACCGGCTCGCACACACGGCTTTAGAGCACGGCCCCCCAGTGGGGATCACTCGCGTTTACCTGACGAGGGTCTGGTTGTGCAGGTCCCAGACCACGATGTTGCCGTCGCTGCAGCAGGAGAAGCAGACCTTGTTGTCGGGGCTGATGGCCAGGGCGTAGCAGGCGGGGGCCGACGACGTCAGCTCGGCCTTGATGCGTGGGGTGGGCGTGGCCAAGTCCCAGATGGACAGTGTGCTGGCCTCCCCCCCGACAATGAGGGTGCGCCCGTCGGGGAGCAGCTTACAGGACCGGATGTAATTATCTCTGTTCTGGATGGGAGACAGAGCAGCGTGGAGATGAGGGCGGGCAGAACCTCCTCCCCTCCACCGGGAGGCGCCATAGGAGCGCTACATAGCCCGGGATGCTGTGGCAACAGTCGTAGGAGGTCGGCCTCACCAGGCAGTCCAACTGGGCCATGGCGCTCTTGCTGCCCGGCTGGCTGATGTCCCACACCTTCACGCAGCCCTTGCCGCCGGTGTAGACGTTGCGCGTGGAGGCGCTGATGGTGACGGCACAGACCACCTCCCCGTGGTTCAGGGTGTGGATCTGCCGGGCGTGGCGCGGGATGCCCGGGCCCAGCAGGGCGTCCGGAGGGAAGGGGACCGGCTGCATCTGCCCATCTGCGCTCACATGGAAGGAGTAGGCGCTGGGGGGTAGAAAGGGGGTACCCAATAAGCTTAAGTACGACACATGACTACCAGAAATAAATATGGCCGACACAAAACCATTTATGGAAATTAATGCAAGTGACAAGGAGAGATGCACCGAGGAAGAGCACACTGAAGCACATTTACATGCAGCCAGTGGCAGACAGAAGCTTCCGGAAGATATGGGGGGGCAGTATCTGGCTGCCGGTCTTGCATAAAACCCAGCGGCTCGAGACGTAAACCTAAAGTGCGATGGGCATACCTGCCCCAAATCCCATTACCCCCTAGGGCGCTTTTCCACCGCACCAGATGCCGTACTTTTGGTACTTCAAGGTGTTGGTTTTCCACTGGCACCAAAAGAACTGGCACCGAATGACATCACAATTGAATTTTTGTATTTCTTTTTGTATTTTTGCAATAAATTTGAAAAATCGCTGCAGTGTATTATAGGGTTAGATGACGTGGGATATTTATACCAACATCGCATTTTATGCCCATGCAATTCTTACACTGCTAGTCAGATAGATTAAAATCAGGCTTTTTCTTACTTTCAATTCTGTACAGACATTATATCGCGGGGGATTAAAGTTTCACTAAAACATTTTTACTCTGTTACTGTCTTAGCAAAAAAACGTAGCAAGCTTTTTTTTAATTATTCCTTTTGCTCCTGTAATTATTCCTGTTATAGATTCAAATTTACCTCCGCTGCATTTGCATGAGCGCTGCTTGCGTTCTCAGAGACGATCATAATCATTTGCTTGCTGATTAAATCACTTGAAGACAGGTTTGTGAGAAATTTATGAACTCCTTTTAAGTTTTTTTTAAATACCTCAATATTTATTACAACAAAATCACATTATTATATTTACAGGACAAAAAATATATGACATCTAGTTTGGCACTATTGGTACTGGAATTTTTGGTGCTGGTTCTCAACCAGAAGTCAATGGAAAAGTACCTTTAATTACAAAATGTTTATAAAAACAAAGACAGTTTTGCAAAACTCTCTTATGCCACTTTCGCCTTTCGGAGACGGCGTCAAACTCAAGAGGCCGTGGGATTCAAAGAGAACATGGGGTAACGGGGGTTACAGAGACGGTGGACGGGGAGGGTGACTCACGGCTTTCCGGCAGCAGAGGCCTGCAAGCCCGCAGGCAGCCTCATGTGGGGGTGGGGGGAGTCGTATCCAACCTGCAAGACGGGAGATTTAACACCAGGCACCAGCAGAGAGCAACAAAGGATCAAATACCTCAGTACTTCCATTGAATTTCACGCCCACACGCCCAAAGCCAAATTCTTAGCCGGGCAGCCCCCCCCTTCCAGACGCTGCTCCCCCCTCCGCCGCCCCGCGGTCTCTCACCACAGGGGATCTCCCATAGCCAGCCGATGCCGCCCCATTGAGCTGCGGGGAGACCAGGTGCAGGCCGGCTCCATACGCGGCGGCCGCCGCCGCGGCGCTCATCTCCCCGTTCACGCCAGGAGGGGGCAGCCCAAACGCCCCGGAGGGATAGGCGGCGTGCACCGCCAGAGGGTTCCTCAGGCCCAGAGCTGGGAGGATGAAAAAGACCAGAGAGACGTTACCTCATCATCATCATCATCATCATCATCAGCAGCAAACATCAGAGCACAGCTACGACAATAGGGAGGATGACAGCCAATGGGAGGAAGGCAACTCAGCAAATTAATAATGAAAGGGGAACTTATCTGGCAACCAAGGAAATACCAAGTTGCTCAGAGGCAAAAAAAAAAAAAAAAAAAAAGCACTTCAAAGGAAATATGGTATCGACCGCACAGTGGGTCAAATCGGGGTATTCTCAGCAATCATGCTGAAAACAAAAACAGGAAAGTAAGAAGAGTTTAACTTTCAACAAAATGGGAATAGAAAAATCGCCAGTCTCCGTATGAAAGCCGGCAGCCACCCGAGCGTGGACCGCATTTCTCCTGTTTCCGTCACCCTCGCGGAAAGCAGTGGAGAGCAGCGGGAGCACGGAGGGACCAAAGCTGCCCAATAATGCCCGTTAGAGGCAGCTCCATCTGTCTAGCTAACGCGCCGCGCTCGGCGCCGCTAACGGGACTGAGGACACCGCGGACGTCCCTTTTCGGACTCGCACCGCCCTCCGCTGGCCAATCCGGCACACCGCGGCACTCAAACAGAATCGCCCCCGGTGAACGTGCCGCAGCCTGCTTGTTTACGGGCTGATACCACCAGCGCTCCAGACGTCTCACCAAGCGGGTCGACCGAAGGCTTCCCTGGAACCGGGCGGAACTGCGGGGGGGCACTGGGGCCTGGGGTGGATGATTCTGAGGGCATGGGGGTTCCCGGCTTCATCACAGGGGTGCTAGACTTCTCCCTCTGAGAAACAAGACAAAACAGATCCTTACACCATTTGCCGTGTAGCCAGATCACTCTGTTTGTTAGCTTGGTCATACTCACACAGCCCATCAAATAACTCTCTATGCTGCTGATTCTATGCCACAGTCTAGTGTTTTATAGCATAGCAGATGTGAATAAGGGATAGGGGGTCCCCTTATGTAAATACAATAATATAAATAATATAACAGCGGAATGTTAATTTAGGAAGTTCAAAGCCATTGATGGAGAAAGAGAGAAGCAGTCTGATGGCCTAAAGAATAGAAAAGAAAAATAGTTCCGGTGACCTCTACTAATTTTCAAAGAAACCCATACAGCAATTGTATATCACATCATTGTATATCACATCACATCAAATTCCACATCAAAAAGCAAACATTTTGTAGAAGGGCCAGCGCTCTGCTAAAATACGACTGAAATCCCCTTTATTAGGTGCTGCATTACAGGGTAGAGTCCTCTGTCTCCAGAAGCACGTTAAGGGTCGTTCGTTTAGAACAGCGCTGTTGTACCGAGCTGCTATTTTTTGCATTTGTGGCCTTTCCATTAGCGTTAACAAGTCTGGCCTTTCTCCTCTGAGCTCGGCTTTAACTAGATGTTTCTAGCCAATAACGTGTCCCAGACTGGATGTGTTTTGTCCATCACACCCTCCTCAGTGCAATCTGTGACAAAAATAAAAATAAAAAAAAATAAAAAAAATCACAGGACGACGGCCGTTTCTGAGATGCTAGAACCACCAATCACAGCACATTTAAAACCGCTTAGATCAGCCGTCTTAGCCAATCAGGAAGTGAACTCTGTGACCCCGTCTTGACGCTACACTGCTGCATGTATTCAGTTGCAGTCACACGATTCGCCGCTTGCAGGAGTAGGCTGTTCACATTACTAAGGGGTGTCCCGGGGGCGCCATAAGTGGGGGGTGGGGTCAGAGTTAGGACAATTCCAAAGGACCATGAATGACAGGGGCCCTAAACATTTTTTGAACATAACTAGACTGGTCTGGGTTGGGTTGGGGGGCTCAAAATCTGTGCCTAATAAACAGCAGCTGAGTGTATCGCAAACAGCTTGGTAACACAAAAAGGAGCCACATTTCTGAAAGGCACATAACCAGAGGTGGAAAGTTCAGGTCCAGAAACTACAAATCCAGACCAAGGTTTTGTTTCAACAAACCAGCTGAGTCACAGTCAGAGTACTCAGCTGGTTGGCTGCCACAAAACCATGGTCTGGATTTGCACTTTCTGGACCTGAACTTTCCACCTCTGCATATAATGACATTAATGGAGCGCGTGTGCTACTATTTGTGCAGCATACAGAGAGCGTGGCACCGTACTGGGGGGGGGTCTTTGCCACGGGAGGGTGAGGCCGCACTGCTGGAGGAGGCCAGAGACGTGGGGCTGGCCTGGGGTGGGATTTCCTTGCGGGAGGCAGGCAGCTTGTCCAGGCCGTTCTCCCGGGAGGAGTAGGACTGCACGCTGCGAGGGGACGAAGGATCCTGCGGGGACAGATCACGCTCAGACTGCCGGTAACCACGGCGACCTTAAAACGAAGTAACCAGAACCCGGCAAACGGAGTGGCCCAAACGCACCTCATCCACGACCAAATTATCATCACTCTTCTCAGCATCGCTGCCCTGGAAGACAGAGAGAGCAGAAGTGATGAGATGCACGATGCACGCGGCGGGGTCTCTCGGCGCCCCCTGCTGGCCGCCACACTCACATAGTCCGCCATTAACTCCTTCTCGTCTGCCTTCCTCTTCTTCCCGTTGCTGAGGTACTCGGATGGACGACCTTTATCCCCATTGGACAGCAAGCTCTGGGGGGCAGAGAAGCAGCAGATAAAATGCATAGTAAAAACCCATCAAATGTCTGTGTTAAATTATCATCTGTGAATCTGACAGCACTTTGGTGGGGGGGGGGACGACATCATGAAAATAAAAGCATTAGCACTTACGGGTCCTGCCTCACGATCTGTGCACACGGTTGGCATGGCAGCGCGGTGGCGTGGGAACCGAAAACAGGGGACAGACAGAGGTGGTAGAATTTCCTGTCAGTCAGGAACTGTAGGTCGGTACTCGTTCACCCAGCACAGACCATCTGTGAGACCCCACAGGCTACGAGCACTAACAGGAACAGGGGGAGCGTACGGTGACATCGGGGGGGGGGGGGCAAGGCTCAGCCGCCGCCCCACCCAGAGATGACTGGGATTAACGTCCAATCAGATCACCATGTCTGCTGTCAGCTAATCTAAAGAACGGAATCCATGGTGACGTGCCCATGGTGACGTGCCCATGGTGACGTGTCCATGGTGACGTGTCCATGGTGACGTGTGTGTACCTCTGTGGTGTTCTGCCGCCGCCGCCGCCACCGCAGCCAGGTGGGCCCTCTCGTCCTTGGCGGCCAGCTGGACCCCCAGCGCGCCGGACAGCGCCAGCAGCCCAGAGGTCCCGCCCAGGGCGAGGCCAGGGTGCTGCAGCGCTGAGGCGTGGGGGGGCATGGGCAGGCCCTGAGCGGCGTGCTGGGACAGGTGCTGCACCTGGAGCTGCTGCTGGAGGGGGGCGGCAGGAGAGAGAGAGCGCATTCAGACAGGTGGGCCCATCTGGATGAGCTAGGGGCTACGGGCTGGGGAGGCGGGCTGGAGGACGTCACTGCTCAGCTCGGCTTCTCCCACAGACCAAGACGCCTCTAAATCCTCAGACTGCCGAGACAAACACGTCAATCTGAAAGCACTGAGACAAACAGAAGCCATTAAGGGCATGAAATATACAGAAGCTGCAAGTCTGAGAGACTGAAGGCAAGGTGACAAGGCGAACTGAGAAAAGTGACAAAGTTCAGACAAAGCAATCCCCCCCCCCCCACTGTATTGGTACTGCGGGCAGTTCAGGTCCAGAGAGTCGAAGTCCAGACCATGTTCCATCCAGCCAGATGAGTGATCTGTGACTCTTTATACTCTACTGGTTGGTAGACACAAAATCACGCTCTGGACTTTTACTCTCTGGACCCGAACTGTCCACCTCTGGTGACCGCCTGGATTAAACCAGTCAGTGATATAGTACCAACCAAAACTACCAACAGCTGGCTTCAAAGCCAATTATCTCCCAAAACAAGCGAGCAGAGAGACTCCATTACAAACCACATAACACTTTGGAAAGATTATCATTATGTTACCCTTACATATTTTTTATAACCTTGTACAGTTCAAATAAAAACTCCTCAAAAACATATCCTCACAATTAGTTAGACCTTTCATTAAGGATTAATTTGAAACACCTGGTTATGATTACATAAAGCCATCCATCTTCCCTCCACATACCCAGTACAAGGTCTCAGAGGCTACACAAATGCTAATTGTATTTAAAATCATTCTCTTCAGAGTAATAAAACAATCCTGTTGAATGGTAATACTGAGAGCAGCACAAGCGGCCCAGCGGGGAATTGCTCTTCTCACTTATTTGGGAAAACTGAGGACAGCGGGTTGGGATTGAGGCGAGTGACCCCTTCTGTAAACACGGACCCAAAGCCCCCACGGGCCGCCGGCCACCACGGGACATGCTGCTCTGCTACCAATTCACAGGCATTTACAAATAAAAATGGCAAAGGAGGAGAAGGGCTTCATCAGAGCGGGAAAATATCATCCGACAGCAGTGAGTTAGAGAGGAAAGTATACAAACCAATCTCTCCACGTGCAATTAAACTGTCCTCATTCTAAGGCGTGCGCAAGGGGAGGGGCTTAGATACCCTGGCAGATTCGGGGTGGGGGGGGCAGCACTTTACAGGGGGCCTTGGATACGTAAAATACATTATATAAGGGAGGTGGGGGGGTGACATTATGTCAGGGGGTCCAGAATTCCTAACTATGCCCCTGCATACATGTCATAGCACTTTGTTATGACTGTGGCTGATTTATTGATGCCCCCCTCCCAGTTTTGCCCTATTCGCCCTCATACTGGGGGGGGGGGGCAGATGTCTGCAGCACGATTCCAGCTTTCTGTAGCATCGATTATATTATTTTACCGTGGATGGTTACCCTGTGTTCAGCCTCAATCTGATATACAGAGTGACACCCCCGCCCCCCCGTTGCCACTCGAAAGGAGTGGCCCAGGTCCCCCCCACTCCCCCTGTCTCGCTCTCCATCCCAGCACTCCCAGAGAACGAGCTGCACAGCCGCGACATCCCGGCCCAAAAAAGACAGAACGTGCGCAATAGCAAAGCTGAAGCGAGAGCAGAC